AATAAGTCGAAAATGAAGCGAAATGCGAAGATTAAAGACCGCAATATCGCGAACGAGCTCAACAACCTTCGGTTTTCACACATTGTAAACTTGCGTGCTCACCGAGAACAGAAACAGAAGGAAAATAAAAGTTACACGCATATCGCTGAGATTCCAAAATATATAAGCGACCGTCTACACACTACTCTCGTGCGACAAAAAGTTTGGCGCGAAAAATGTTTCCGATGCGCGGATACGTGACGCGCCTTGCATTCCGTGTCTATAGGGGAGAAAGAGAGAAGAAAAAAAAAGCCGACAAAGAGTATAGGCGGACCTGGTCACCTCGTTTTCACCTGCGAGCCTGGCATTGGTTTTTCTGCCTAGAGTAAATGCAACAACGTATCACGAAAGAATACAATTCCTCTTTACCTTGCTGATTAAAATGGCGAACAAAATTTTATCTCTTGCCAGACTTCTTCCTCGACCATACAAATTAGATCATGTGGCAAATGGAGTTTTGGAAACTTCGAGCTTCAGCGTACCTTGAGTCAATATTTAATGAACTTTACAAACACGGTTGCATTTATAATTCAACGAAACTACGTCGGAGGTCGGATTATTAGGGCTTATCATAAAGACGAAGATTGTTTCCAGTTTGATTATATGATTTGATACAAATTACTGAAAGAATTGCAATTGTCTTAACAATGAAAAAATAACACGTATTGAAAGTTAGCATTATTAATATGTACTTATTTTTAATATGGAATTCTTCCAACTGAAAAAAGACCGTCAGCAGTATTTCAACGCACATTCATAATTCTGCACTTTCCCTTTCGTTCACCGTTCTGCTGTCACACGCGACATCCCGCTGATAAATTCCACGAATGCGAAACTTTCGCGTTCAAAAACAAAATCGTCATAAGTAAGCCCAACCGCGTGAGAAACGAAGAATGAGCTTTGAGTAAGCGCCGCACGCGTCGAGGACAAAGCGTAAATCTATAACTCACAGCCGAGGAGACGCAAAAGCAATATGAACGAAAGAAGTATTACGGAAGTAACGACAACGGTAATAAATAACTGACGAGGGACACGTGCATAACGCGCTTCCGTTTTGTTGGCACTTCGCGTTAGCTAACTTTTCTCTTTCGCTCGCCAATATGTTTGTTTGTGATACTTTTATTCCTTTTGAAAACGTGTGAATTAGGCGATGGAAATTATCTTCGCAAAAGTCAAATATTTGACTTTCTGTTAGCGAGCTGTTGACTTGCCTGTGTGGAACGTAGAAAAGACGGCTTTTGATTATTCACGCTTGCAAGTGACAATTCTATTGAAAGACTTTGCCACGCTAATCGATATTCTATCTTGACACAATTAAGAATATCCGCGAAAGATTGAGATCGCCTTGGAGTCGACATCTCACGTGGATATTCAGTCTTCATTAATCTTGCTTTGATATCAATCACCGGAAAGACATTTCAGATTTTTTTTTGTGAAGAAAAGATGCTCAGATAAATAAATTATTCAAAAGTATTTTGTTAAAAAAATATATGAAAGCAAAGATTTTTCATCTCGTACACTGTCATCGACAGTATCGACAGTCTTATCTCAAAATTCGACTCGAACCCTCATACAATATTCCATTAGGAAGGAATTTCATGTTAAAAGCCGTACACGTACGTATTCAACTATCTCGAATCGCAGTAGACAATCCAAAAAAAGGAGCTGTTCAAGTTTGAAGTACTGTTTAGGCATGCAACAGCGTCGAAATGAGGCGCGAATAAAGCCATTATTACGGAAGCGCTCTCTCGCTCGTTCGCGCAGGACAACGGTAAACCCGCTGGTAGAACGACGGCATAACTGGCCGCATGACGATCGACAACACTCTCTCTCTCTCTCTCTCCCTAGGTATCGCGCACACATATAGACACGTTTGCATTGTACGGTACACACCAACTTGTTGGAAAAACAAGACCACTGAAGATTTTTTTTCAAGTGCAGGTTTAGTCGGTCGAAGATAAAAAGCAAACCCCTCCCGAACGATAAAACCAAGTTTACAAGTGAGATTAGGGTAGCTTAAAGTTCACCCTGTACAGGCGAGGAATGTCTTTTTGCAAGAGGGAGTTTCCTGAGGAAGTGTATATATGAGACTTTTTATTTGCAAATGATGTATGAATTGAAATTACTGCACCAACAGAGCTGAAAAATATATAACGTAAATACACATTGATAATTCGTCAATTGCATGACACATGTGCATGCATTTATTTGTGGATACGAATCCATAAGAAGCCAATAAAAGAAAGTTTTTCACAGGAAAATTTATAAATCGAGTGACATTGAAAAACTTACGATCTAGAAAGTTTTACAAAAACAGCTCCCCCACTTAATAATTAAACTGGAAACACTGCACTTTGAGAACAAGTAGTTCCACACCACTTCTCAAGATCTCCTATTAATAAAAAACATATATTCATAGGCTTGACCCTCCGTTATTTAAAAAAAAGATGGTAAAGATAAATCCAATCGCCACCTAAAAATATACAATACGGGAAACAGTGTGAGATTATAGTAAACAAGGAGTTTGAACGGCGAGAAAACGCCGTACTCGGGAGAGATATCTGGAGCAACGAGCAAAAAGTTGCTCGTCACCTTGCTCCCAGTTCTAGTTGCCTCGCGCGCGCGAACGAGAGAGCGTTTGATTTCGCGCGTGCGATTCTGTGTCGATGCACATAAAAGGGTCAAAAGGTAACGGTCGAGAAAACAATTCATTCGCTGGAAAAGCCAATGATCGAGATGTCAGGTTATAAGCTTTCATGAAGATTAAACAAGAAAAATATAGGCGACTGCTTTTTGCTTAGCTTATCGGACTGCTGCTTTACCCTCTCGAATGAGTGACTTTTATTGATTGAAACGCAATAATTTCAAGCGTTCCGATTGGATTTTTCAAGTACTATTTAAATGTTAATTGAACAAGTTAAAGTCCGTTTTTATACGATTCATTCATTCATCGTATCTGTTGATATAAAAATAGAGTTACACCTCGTTGAACATTATAATAAGCTGCTTCATACAGTTTAATAAGTTTTTCATTGCAGATTATTTTTTTTGCGATTTCCTTTCTCTTACTGCGTTTTATATTTTATTATTTGAAAAACTTGAAAGATGTCATTTAATGACTTTTTCGGCACCACAAAAGAAACTTAATCAACCAAGGTACTGTCAAAAATTTCATTGTATTGAATATAGAAAAAATCCCAGGAAAAATTGTCGGGAAAATGACGGTGATTGTTAGAGCTAAATGCATCGCAACGACAATATACTCGTACGTCTAAAAATGCAGTTCCCATGGAAATGACTGCGATGCCAATCTTAAAAGCCAAATCACGCAATTTATAATCCAATTAAGAGATACAAGCCACCGAAATGTAACATGACAATATCCAAGCTTTGTCGCAAAGCTCGCAAAGCAAAAGGAATGCGATGACACGGCGCAGAAAGCAAGTTACGCAATTAAGTGCTGCTAGAGCAGAATGCGCGGTCGTTCTTCGGCATAATTAATACGATTTCCACGCGCGCGCAATACGAGACAATTAAATTTCGAGCGTAAAGAAGCGCGCGACTTTCACGTTGCATTTATGCTAATTACCAGAGCGCGCACGCTGACCCGGAAAGACACTTTGCGCCCGAGGAATTGCGCGTCGACGGTGCGACAGATTTGCGCGCGCCGTGGACAATGGGCATTCCGATGCGCGACAACCACGACGACCTTGGGCTTAAATAAGCAGCGTCCCAAAGTACCTTTCGATTAATTAATTCATTGGGAATTGTTTCGAAAGCACGCAGGAATTCTTTCGTTAATTGAACCGGCTGGCGATCGGCAATAAATCCAGCGAATTTATCGTAGGCGCTCTCACGCTGTGAGCGTATCAGCAACCAAAATTATCATATCATAACTTTGCACTTTTGAGAAACAGATAGCGTCTATATATTCTGCAGTAACGACATGCCTACAGTTATATATCAAACCAGTACTAGACTCGAATAATCAGCATAAAAAATAGGAGATTGCATGCAATCTATGCGACAAAATAGTAGCCTAGCAGCGTCTTTTAAAAGCCGATAACAAGCGTAAGCTTTTCAGGGATGACGACCAACGATCAATTAGAGCCAAACCCAATAACCTGCCTTCGTCGAAAATTCATAACTCCGGACGTTTGAGCGGCGCGCCTCGATCCCCCAGAAGCATAAGAGCGTTGCACTTAATCATCATCAGGCACGGCGTGCATCTTCGATAAACCAAGCTGACACCTCATGCGCGGCTCAAGCTTGCCGAAAGATCGATGGCACGAAAGCGCAGGTGTTGCACGTGGGCGGAGAGGAACAAACTCGTTAGCAGACGCAACCTACAAAGGGCTTTTTTCTTTTTCGCCCGGGCGCAAATTGAGATGGGAAAGGCTCCGAGCTCTGTGAATATTGGCTGTTATAACTCCGCAACGCTGACTTTTGCCACCGATCGTTTTACCTGGCTTTTTCTCATTGTTTTCACTTTGTTCTTACGCACCGTTTCGTTATTTTTAATAGGCTCATTGCGCCGCAGAACTTGATTGGCGAAGTTTGTCTCTATCCCACGCACTCCGAGGATATTTCAAACTTTTAATAAAAGTGAAAACAATGGTTTCAACTTTACCTATTATAACGGCTTAGCCGCCCAGTTTTTCATGGTTTCTATTTGCGAAGCATGCTTTTTTAATTGGAAGTACAAGCGAATAAATAATGAAACCTGTTATCGCCGAGTGTGACGTTAACATTAGCTCCCATTCGAAAGTTCAACGGACTCCCGCAATGAAACCCCGCGATATTTTTATGATGTCTCTACCGGCTCCACGAGAGGGATACATAACAACAGCAACAAATCCCCGCAAGCATTTTTCGTAGGCAGTAAAAAAATGAAAAACGAGAAGTGTCTCAAACACCGTTGTAAAAAAATAGAAGAGATTGACGTAACACGATATCTGTACCTGCACAACGGCTGCTGTCGTAACTCCAAAAATCGAAAAATCGGAGGCTCGTGAAAAGTAGCGGCGAGCTCTGGCTCTAGTGCCCATCCTCCGCTATATCCCCCAACATTCTCGGTAAAAGCGCGCAGCTCCCGTTAAAGCCTCCTCTGCTGTAGCAGCAACAGAACCCTTTTGCCTTTTTGCCTTCGATTTGCAACGCTGAAATAAGCGCGCGCGCACGGGCGCGAGCTGCTGTTGATTTTTTTGTGCTTTGCTACGGATACTGATTGCTCGCTCGTTTTGCCTTGTCTTCGCTTCGAGATGATTTAATAATTTCGACGGAAAGTCGACGATCTCCTTCTCTTCGTTACTCTTTTCTTTTTCATTTATTCGCTGCACTCTCTACTCCCTGCTGCTTTTTTCTCTTGTGATTTTCCGAAGTGTAAAATCGATGATTGCTGGTAACTGATTCTTCGCATTTTTTTTTTCGAACTTCACGCTCAAATACTTGGCTCTGTGCTCGCGGCGGATTCACAGTCAATTTTTCGATCGAAAGCTCTGCGGAAAATCGCCAGCGGCGACTCGTTCAACAAGTACCACGAATAAAACCCAATTTCACGGTGCAAAAGAGGAAACACAGGCGAAGACACAGTCGACCGGTGAGCAAACCGAACGCACAGAAATCAGCGCCTGTCACAAACCATCGGGAACAAAGTAGAGACAAGCGAGGAAGTAGTGTCGGTGAGGCGCACGCGCCATAGATCGGGGCGCCGCGAGAGCCGAGCTCGCACTAAACGCACTTATACACGGCGGCCAAGGCAAGGCGAAATGATCGCTGGTTGAGCGCACCGCTCTGCTCGCTGCGCTCTCTCCTACTCTCTCTCTCTCTCTCTCTCTCTCTCTCTCTCTCTCGCGCGCGCACGCTCTTCGAGCTAGCGTAAGGAGAAATGGACAGGTGCATCTCGCGCACTCTGCTCGCTTAGCCACCAATCGTCTCGTCAATAATTGAGCTGTGCGAGCATAATTTATTTTTTAGCCGCGACCGTGGCGCAGACTTTCGCGGCTGCTCTCGAGCTTGGACTTTTATCGCCGAGCGATCGCTGCGAGATCCCGAAAACGCGCGCAAAAGTCAGCAGCCGGTCGAGGCCCGCGAGGCGCATTTCAATTCAATTACAAAGCAATCGCTTTTTCCATTTTCCGCGCCCGTCCGAGACACTCCTCGGTCTAATTATAAATGGAGACTGAAGATTGAATCTTCAGTACGTGATGGTGAAGTTAATGCGACTGTTTCAAGTGTAATTAATGTCCGTTAACCGTAATGAACTTCAATCTGCGCACTGTGCTTTCCTCTTGTTAAGACGGTTTTATCGTGGACGCACGTATAACTTCGGCTTCAATCATAATCTCCGAGCCATTATGAGCACCCGACAACAACGTTATTTTTTCATCGTGAACAAGTTTCGAAACTGGCTGAAGGCAAAGTATCGAACATACCGAGGAGAATAAGAAGAATCGAAAAGTGCCGTCCGCGTGCGCAATACAACGAAACGTACACGAGCACGGCATCTGTGCAGTGGCGTCCAGGAAAAGCAGGACACTCTGCGGTTAGCTCGCTTGCGCGCATGCGATTCAAGGTCACCACGCTGGTGCTCACGCGTCAAAATTAGAAGCGCGTGGCTACTGGCTCAACTAGCCACTAGCTGCTCTCCGCGGATAACGGTAGGCACGCCTGGCCACGTCCCATATACACTCATCTTTTTTCCTTCTCGTCCCTGCCATCTTGCGCGAATTGAGTTACATGCCAGCGAGTGAGCAGGTTATCGATATGCGTCGATTAATTATTGATGACGAGAGACACTGCGAGTGCGTCGCCAACGTGATGTATTTTATTAGCCTACACTTTGCTCTTATCAATGTGTGTAATGAAGACGCTATCTTGCTGTTGTTGTGATGGCGTGCCATTAATTTCAAAGAATATCATATGTATCCATCATCCTTGATTATCCTAATGAATCAATCTTTTATCACGACTGTGCGCCATAGAGATAATATAAAGACGCCTCAGACCATCTACTTCATCAAAGTTCATTCTCGTCGACGACTTTCATCCGACAGAAATAATTCTTCTTTTTCATTTCGCTCCCTGTCACGTTTTGTTTTGCTGCCTCATTCCCGTAGGAACTTTTTCCAAAATTCATGACTTCGCACACACGCGATTTGGCGACGAGAAGGAGATCGTCCTCTGGGATTATCGGCCTGTGAAACCGTACGGCTTGGGTAAACGAGGCGTGTCTCGACGAATTATTGTCTCTTGTGCTTCTAACCCCTTTTTTTGCTGCTACTTTTTTCCATCTTCCAGGGATCGCCCACGAGCACATATTTTAAGTGAAAATTTTAAGGGAGCAAGCCTCGTCCGGAATACTGGATTAACGGACCGGTCTTCTGCATTTTTTCATGATTTTTGTTTTTCAGAGGATGAACATTGAAATGACTCGCTTAATGAAATACAAAATTACATTTATTTATTTTGACAGACTGACTCGATGCTTTATCGATTATAAAATTTGATGATGTATTGATTCACGCTGCTCCACGTACATTTGACGTTGATCTACCAGGTGCGAGCTTATTTCAAAATTTGTAGAAAGTCAACATTTGACGCAAACGTCGAGAGAGATTGGAAGCTCGCCCGACGGGATGCATAAAAATTCTCTTACAATCGACATGATCAGGCCTTAAATCATCTTTTAAAAAAAACTGATGGCTCATCCCGCAACCATTCCTTTAACGTGATGTATTTGGTGGAAACAATAAGAGATACTTTATAATCTATTTTATTTTCCTTCGAAATATTACTAATCTCATATATAAACAATGGTTAAGGAAAATTCCTCAAAGGAGGGGTTTTCCTTTGAGGGATTTTCCTTAACCATTGTTTATATATGAGATTAATAAGAGATACTATTTTATTTTTTGTCATTTTAGGAGGGTAGACGTTCACACGCAAGAGTTGATAATTCGATTGCAGTAATTATATGCTATGAATGGTTTTGATTTAATACGTCCTTTTAAAATGTCGATATCTTTGTTTCTCAAGCATTATAATATTTCCAATATCAAAAGCAAAGTTTAAAAAGGAAATTTGCATCGACAAAAACAACTACAACGATGATGATTAAAAAAAAATACTGCGACACTATCAATAAACGAATACACGACATTCAAAAATTCACAATTGCTTCCATATATCCAATCCATCGATCGTTAACGCGTATTCAAACAGCAACAAGTTCAATTTGGCCGACACGCACACTCTTGCTAACATCACTTACCCCAAATAAGGTACAAACGCGACGATATTCCGAAGGTTGTAAACGAGCACATGTCCGCACCGTCAGCTGTAGGCTTTATACATATTTTCGTGCTTATAAGCATCACGCGCGCAAATCCAGTGGCGGAATCTACGAGACCGTTAAAGCACCTGTATGTGTATGTGTGAGCGAGTGACACAAGTGAGTGCATGCGGCTGCGATCGACGCGACCTGGAAGTTTTCGCACTGCTCTGCGCGGGATAAATCATCATTGATTATGTGACGTTTAAAGGATTCTGTGGGAGTATCGTTCATTTTTCATTCAACTTTTTTTATTTCTACTGCGGAGTTTCAATTTTGAATATAATAAATTGATAGATCGCATTTTTCTAACAAACGCATACGAAGATCTTGCAATTTACCGTTATATTACCAGTTTTATTTTTCAAATCATACTCTCACATTGTTTCATTAGTTCTATTATAAATAATTGTTCAAAGGATTTAGTTTTCGCCATATAAAAAATGTCTTTTAAACATATAACAAGAAGAATATATTGGAACGACGATTTATTGAAAGAATACTAGCAAGTTAATTTGAAGACGTAATTATTCTATTGAATTCTAGGCGAAACCCTACGGAAATCACTCCAATCTCATTGTACTAAACCAAAAAAACAAAAAATTTGAATATTCTTGCCTGGAATCGAGCGTAAATTATTCATAAGTGTACCTTGATTACCAATTAAAATTTCGCAAAGTAGGCTTTTACTTCTAAACGTAGTCATAAAATCAATCACAACGCGCAAACTGTAGCAAAACTTAATTTATCAAATAACCTCAACTAAACATCCCTTCTCCTATCACTTGTTGATGTCCGTTAACGAAGCAATAGTGCCCATAAGGTCTCTCTCTCTCTCTCTCTCGTAAGCGCGCGATGTAAATAATTTCGCTACTATACAGTGGCGGCATACATGTAAAAAGTACCGTAACGATGTTGCGGCTTTGCATGTATACATATAACGCAACGGAGAGCAGTATCGCGCTTTGGAAACGGTAAGTCAGTGGGTGCACGCGCGCCGTGCGAGAAAGAGAGAGTGACTATTACACTCACACACATATGCACACGATGCTCTAAGCCAATCGATAAGCAAGCGCTGTATAACTTTTTTCAAACCAAAGTCTAATGTATCGAACGTGCTACTTTCGCGGAAGATCTCACTTTGAATCTTCGCGCAAGGCGGCGAAAATGATGTTTTTATCGCGGCATAGTTGTCGATATATATAACAATGAGCTCTAGTTCGATTAGTTTCCATAATATCCGCGCGGAGCTTATGATCAATATAGTCAAGTAATTAGAAATCACGATAGTATACATCTTAATGCCATGCAGTATTATTGTCAAAACAATACGTATAGGAACCGCGTTAAATTCACAAAGAGATAAAAGGAGCAGATGCAACATCCAAAGCTTGGGGGTATATAGACTTGTCGGGATTCATACACCTGTCACTGGTATACGTCCTTTGAGTTCTTGCAAGTGATATGTGGATAAATGGATGCATTTGAGCTTTTGATGTCAACTCAAGGTTCACGGAGACTATTAATTAAATGCTAATAATAGCGGTTGGTTGTTTTAGTTGGTCGATCCGACGGAACGCACTAAAATAAAATTGTACCACATCTTGTTTTCAATTAGTAACAAAGTAATGCGAACTTTGGAAACGTGTTCCAATTAACCAGCGAATCAGCCGCAATTAGTCGGCAACAATACGATACCATCGAAAAAGCATTCTCGTTCCGTTGTTAACGCAACGACGATAAGCAGCGTCATTCGGTGCATGAAATCGAATTACGTTATACAACACTTGACATGTTGATTTCCGTACGCGTCAACGTAGCACTGCAAAATCATCCTACGAGATTTCATATTTCCGATGGCGCGGCGATTGTTAATGAGCGCGCATTTTCGAGCAGAAAAGGAACGGGTATTTTTCTTTCTTTATTTCTGGATATGGCAATGGGTCTCTACCTGAAACGCAGATATGCCAAAAGGAACGGGTATTACGTCGCGCACACTTAACGCGCGCATTTCATCCTGTCAATGAGTTCTCGCGAACAAAAAAAAGCGATCGTCCCGCGACCGTACCATATACAAAATACCAACGCTAGTCCACGTGTAGCAATTACTCAAAATTATCCCATCTCTCGCACGTCAGCTATCCACTTTATTCAAGCGGTACGATATCGATTTAGATATCGTAGCAATTTTAATAGGGTTCAGTTCGATCGGTAGAGCAGGAAAAAAAAAAGAATGAAATCATCGATCGAGCGACAAATTGCAAATCGATCGCTACTTTTGATAGAAGAGTCGCTATATGTACCGCTGCTCTCTCTCTCTCTCTCTCTCTCCCTCTCGTTTTACATGCGTCCGTTCG